AGACTCTCTAAAACAACTATAAAACAAGACTAGAAGACAAGTCATCCAGAATGGAGAGGGAGGAAAGAGGACAAGAAATCCAGAACAAATATCAGCAATGTCTCAAACTGGATGGATGGATGGATGGATGGATGGATGGGTGGGTGGGTATGGAGAGATAGAAGACTATTGATATTTATCAACTTGTATTTTAACAGATAAGCTATTCATTTGCATAAGAATATATTATGTATGAATTACAATAGGCAGTACATTAATATAGTTTTTAATAACATAAAAAATCTGTTTTCATCCATGTCTCCATCCATCCTGACCACCATCTTCCACACATACATCATTATTTACTATTTTCTTTTTTGTTTATTTATTTGTTTTTTGAGACAGAATCCTGCTCTGTCACCCAGACTGGAGTGCAGTGGCATGATCTTGGCTCCCTGCAAGATCTGCCACCCAGGTTCATGCCATTCTCCTGCCTCAGCCTCCCAAGTAGCTGGGACTACAGGCGCCTGCACCATGCCTGGCTAATTTTTTGTATTTTTAGTAGAGACAGGGTTTCACCATGTTAGTCAGGATGGTCTCGATCTCATGACCTCGTGATCCGCCCGCCTTAGCCTCCCAAAGTGCTGGGATTACAAGTGTGAGCCACCACATCCGGCCTATTTTCTTTTTAATGTTCCTTAATGTGACAAATAATTTTATATACTCCTGATGCTATGTAAGTATATCTCTAGGATAAATGGTCATCAGTAGGAGTTTCAGGTCACAGAATAAATGCATTTGTAATTTGGGGGATATTATCAAATTTCCCTACATAGAGATTCTTTTATAACATGTGCAATCACAACAGCAATGCATGGAAAACCCTGTTTCTCAACAGTTTTGCCAAGAATGCATTGTAAAACTTTTAGATTTTGCTAATCTGAGCAGTGAAAAATGGTCAATTCAGTTTAATTTGCATTCATCTAATTACGAATTGGATTTAACGTGTTTTCATAAATGTTTTAACATTTGTATTTCTTTTTTGTGAAATGTCTTTTCATGTCTTCCACTCTTATTCGATCAGGTCACTTGTTCTCACCAATTTCTGTTTGTGTGTGTGTGTGTGTTTGTGTGTGTGTGTATATGCATGAATGTATTGAGAAAAGATCTATACTTCTGACAATGAGTTTGGAAACTAAATACTAGTATTGGGAGTAGAGAAAGAAGACAAAGGTATTATGGTTACAAGAGCTAAAGCCTCTTTTTCTACAATAGGGAAATGACAATAAATAATAGCTAAAACTGAAGTCAAGAAATAGCATTAGACAAACTCAGTGGCTCATGCCTGTAATCCCAGTGCTTTAGGAGACTGAAGCAGAAGGATCAATTGGGGCCAGAAGTTCAAGCCTAGCCTGGGCAACATAGTGAGATTCCATCTCTACAAAAAAATTTAAAAATTTAAAATAGCTGAGTGGTGACACATGCCTGTAGTCCCAGCTACTTGGGAGGCTTAGACAAGGAGGTCACTTGAACATAGGAATTTAAGACTGCAGTAAGCCATGATCATACCACTGCACTCCAGCATGGGCAACAGAGTGAGAGCTTGTCTCAAAAATATATATATTTTTAAAAAGTAGGCTGGGCACAGTGGCTCACACCTGCAATCCCAGCACTTTGGGAGGCCGAGACCGGCAGATCACAAGGTCAGGAGATCGAGACCATCCTGGCTAACACGGTGAAACCCCATGTCTACTAAAAATACAAAAAAAATTAGCCAGCGTGGTGGCGGGTGCCTGTAGTCCCAGCTACTCGGGAAGCTGATACAGGAGAATGGCATGAACCCGAGAGGCAGAGCTTGCAGTGAGCCGAGATTGCACCACTGCACACTCCAGCCTGGGCAACAGAGCAAGACTCCATCTCAAAAAAAAAAAAAAAAAGATTAATGTTTGCATATTCCGTTTTCTTAGATACAAGATTCTCTTCCTATGTTTGCTGATGGTTACTGAGAAAGAAGATTTCCCTGTTATCAAAAAACCTAGGAAACCTAATCTAGGTGTTTTCTTCCTGTAGTATTGTAAAATGCAAGTCGATAAAGAAATGAATCTGAGAGATCTAAGTATAAACACAGCATGATTCTTTCATAGTCTTGAGTCACTTCAACCAATTCCACGGATTTTTTTCAACTTGCATTTCTAATTCTCTCTATTAATTTCCTAGAGCTACTGTAACAAAGTACAAACTAGGTAGCCTAAAACAACAGAAACTCACTGTCTTACAGTTCTGGAAACTAAAAGTTTTAACTTAAAGTGTCAGCAAGCCATACTCTCCCTGAAGACTCTAAGCGAGATCCTGCGATCCTTCCATCCTTTCTCACCTGTTGCTAGTTTTTGATAGTTTATTGTTTGGTTTCGTTTTTGTTGTTGTTGTTGTTTGAGACAGGGTCATGCTCTGTCACTCAGGCTGGAGTGCAGTGGTGCAATCATGGTTCACTGCAGCCTCAACCTGGGCTCAAGCAATCCTCCCACCTCAGCCTCCCAAGTAGCTAGGACTGCAGGCGTGTGCCACCACATCCAGTTAGTTTATTTTTATTTTTTATAGAGATATGGTCTCACTGTGTTGTCCTGGCTGTTCTCCAACTCCTGACCTCAAGCTAACCTCTTACCTTGGCCTCCTAAAGTGCTGGGATTACAGGCGTGAGCCACTGCGCCCAGCCTGGGTAGTTCCCTGTTTGCTATTCCTTGACTTGTAGACACATCACCCCAAGCCTCCATCATCACATGATGTTTTCTCCATGTCTAAGTTTCCTTCTTTTTATAAGAATACCAGTCATTGGATTAGAGTCCACCCTTCTCCAGTACAACCTCATTTTATCTTGATCACATCTGCAAAGATCCTATTTCCAAATAAGATCACATTCATAGGTACCAGAGGTTAGGACTTCAACATATCTCTTTGGGGGACACTCAACTCACACACCTTCATTTTGTTTATTCTAACATATTTTTTCTTCTCTTTCTCTCCAGACTTCACCTTTGCCTTCCTTCTGGTGAAGCCAAAATAGGCATTTCTGAGTAATACAACTGATTCAGGGAATAACTATTCTGAATATACCCCAACCCTAACCCACCTGTCCCAGGAAAATTGTTATCCTCATCTACTTTCTCTTATACCCTGTTATCCTAATCTACTTTCTCCAAGTGGTAAACCCCACAATATTTAGTAGTTGCCTATTAAATTTGATATCCAGGTTGGGTGCAGTGGCTTACACCTGTAATCCCAGCACTTTGGGAGGCTGAGGTGGGTGAATTACCTGAGGTCAGGAGTTTGAGACCAGCCTGATCAATATGGTGAAACCTCATCTCTACTAAAAATACAAAAATTAGCTGGGTGTGGTAGCATGCACCTGTAGTCCCAGCTACTTGGGAGGTTGAGACAGGAGAATTTCTTAAACCCGGGAGGCAGAGGTTGCAGTGATCCAAGATCATGCCACTGCACTCCAGCCTGGGTGACAGAGCAAGATTCAGTCTCAAAAAAATAATTAATTTAAAAAATTTGATATCTAAATGATACAATGATCTCAGGACAAAAATCAACAGAAGAAATAATGGTGTGTTTGAAAGAGTACAAGGTTTGAAATCAGAAAACCTGAGTTGCAATTCCAGTGCTGTTACTTAAAACAGAACCAATCTAGTTCTTCTAAATGCTACTGCAATATTCTTTTCATCATCGTAAGGCTAAAGCCTCCACCTGTGACCCAAATTCAATTCCCACACCAAGAGCGGTCCTAGATTGCACAGAATGTTGCACCTAAATTTAAATGGAAATGCCCAAAGAGAAGGAAAAGAAGAGAATAAAGAGGAGGAAAGGAGGAGGAAAAGAAGGAGAAGGAAAAGGAGAAAGACAGGAGCAAATCGCAAAATACAATTTCCAGAAAATCTCTTTTAACAATTTTTAAGCAGATGCACAGAAAAAAAGTCCCAAGAGGAAACTGTCTCTTGGAGCTTCCCTAAAAATGAATGGAAAGAAGTCACTGGCAGTTACCAGCGTGTATTTCATGCTATTTTCGTTAGTGGGTGACTCATCCATGCCGGGTAGTGAATTTCCCAGGCTTTCAAATTTAAATGAATGTAGATAGTGCAAGGCATTCATTTTACCATGGAGTGTTTTCTCCTGTTGGTCATAAAAGGAATCCATTGTGTTATGATTAGGTCATGCTTGACCCACCTCAGGAATGTTTTCAGAGTGACAGAATATTTATTTCTCAGAGATGTCTCCAAGGTTCAAGGAAGTCTGATTGGCATACTTACAAAGGCCTTGTGATCCTAATAGGGTCTAAGACAAGTCCTCCCCTTCTTTTGTGGGCAGGCTGTTATTGTTAATCCAGCTGCACTTGGTAATGACGCCCACCTTTTCATTCTAAACATAGAATAAGAGAGTAATTAACAGAGCGTAATCACACCGAAAGAAAATCCTGCTTTCTAAAAAAATATTGCTTCAGAATAATTTAATTGTGCTTCACATGTTTTGAACAATTTTAGACAAGAATTTAACTTACTACTAGTAATAACATGTCACTTTTTCTCCATCTGTCATAATTACTCAATAAACACATAGGCTTCAAAAATTGCATCTAAACTTACGCATGCAAGTGGTGTACTTTCTGATCAAACCACTGTAGGCGGTGAGTAGTGCCATCAATCATTTTTTTTTTTTTGAGACAGAGTCTCGCTCTATCATCCAGGTTGGAGTGCAGTGGTGCAATCTCGGCTCACTGCAACCTCTGCCTCCCAGGTTCAAGTGATTCTCCTGCCTCAGCCTCTCAAGGAGCTGGGATTACAGGCATGTGCCACCACACCCACCTAATATTTTTGTATTTTCAGTAGCGACAGGGTTTCACCATGTTGGCCAGGCTGGTCTTGAACTCCTGACCTCAGGTGATCCACCTGCCTCGGCCTCCCAAAGTGCTGGGATTACAGGCATGAGCCACCATGCCTGGCCTTTCTTTTTTTTAAAATCCCCCTCCATGTCCCCCCATTGACAATACAGATGAGTCCCAGGGCCTGGGTTGAGATGTATATGGGATAGGTTAATTCAGCCTCCTCTTTCTGTTTGGTTGGGGTAATAACATATCCTATGCTGAGCACGAGGAGGCTGGCACCACAAATCTTTGAGGCCAAAACTTGTAAGATTTCAGCTTCTGAAACAACAAATCAGACCCAAACTGGCACTGAGCTAAGGACTCAGTGCCTACCAGTTACAGTTTGCATTTGTCACTCATATTTGACAGGTAATTATTTCTCCTCAGATTTTTTGACTTAAAGGGACCTCAGGTGAGAGACTAGGGATAACAGAAAAGGGCAATTAGGTTATTGCTTAGCGGTTGTTACTGAATGTTAGAAATAACAGCTCGGGGTCATAAAGAAAACCAGCACTCGAACAAAAGATTTCTTAGCAAGGCAAATTTGCTTCTGCAGAAGGGTGCTGCTGCACTCCTGGCCATGGCGATAGCAAACCGAGTGGGGTAGGGCAGGGGTTTTTATCCCTAATGCAGCAGTTCCTGTAGCTGTGTCCTTTCCCCATTGACTGGAGTCCAATCACACAATCTAAGCTGACTTGATTGGCTACTGTTTAAAATTGAATAGGGCTAACTAGGCAGGAAGGGAGAGGCTGTTTGTTAGAGCACAAGGTATGTCCGGGCATGTTAGGGCACAGGAAAGGCTGGAGGGGTAGTTTTGATGGAAAGGACAATTGCAGAGCAAGTAATCAAGGAAATAGATGTGAATTACAGATTAGGGCTGGCTGGAAGGTTATTTACCATAACTAGGGGCAAGAAGAGGTACAAAGAACAAGGAAGTTAGGCTTGAAAATAGAGAACAAAGAACAAGGAAGCTGAACAAGCCAACTCTTTGAAGAGGAACTTACTGTACCTAACACTGAATAAGATTAACTGTGGCTTGTTTCCATTCAAATATCAAATCACAAAAATGGAAATCTTTCTTGAAACTCATAAAATTTAACTTTAAGGAAGATTTAGGTTTAACAATATCAATTCATTTTTGTTTTTGTTGTTTGTTTTTTGTGACAGGGTGTCACTTTATTGCCCAGCTCACTGCAACTTCCACATCCAGAGCTCAAGCCATCCTACCCACCTCAGCCTCCTGAGTAGCTGGGACTATAGGCACATGCCACCAAGCCCAGCTAATTTTTGTATTTTTTTGGTACAGACGAGGTTTCACTATGTTGTCCAGGCTTGAACTCCTAAGCTCAAGTGATCTGCCTGCCAGGGCCTCTTAAAATGTTGAGGCTGGGCGCGGTGGCTCAAGCCTGTAATCCCAGCACTTTGGGAGGCCGAGACGGGCAGATCACAAGGTCAGGAGATCGAGACCATCCTGGCTAACACGGCAAAACCCCGTCTCTACTAAAACCACAAAAAATTAGCCGGGCGAGGTGGCGGCGCCTGTGGTCCCAGCTACTCGGGAGGCTGAGGCAGGAGAATGGCGTGAACCCGGGAGGCGGAGCTTGCAGTGAGCTGAGATCTGGCCACTGCACTCCAGCCTGGGCGACAGAGCGAGACTCCGTCTCAAAAAAAAAAAAAAAAAAAAAAATGCTGAGATTACAGGCATGAACCACTGCACCCAGCCAATTCATATATTTTAATTGTTTCCTTTTTTTTTTTTTTTTGGAGACTGAGTCTTGCTGTCAACTTGCTGGAGTGCAGTGGCGAGATCTTGGCTCACTGCACCTCTGCCTCCTGGGTTCAAGCGATTCTCCTGCCTCAGCCTCCCAAATAGCTGTGGAGACAGGCGTGAGCCACTGCGCCTGGCATGCACCAGGATATTTATACAGGAACTGTTTTACCAGGTGGTCAGGTGGTGCCACAGGATAAAATATGACATGAATGTGGCCAAGGTCAAGAAGCAGGTAAGTGCCACCCAGGGAAGAGACCAGAGCATGAGTCAAGGTCACTGAGAACAGACAACATGCACACCAGGGTCAAGTATCTATTTACAGCAAGACAAGTGAGAACACAAAATCCAGTCCCTTGCAAGACATCAGTCCCCACAACTAGCAGATGCACTTCATATCCAATCCAGGCAGCATGGTCACATACAGGCCTTTTTGGGCTGTGGTAAGCTAGGCCCAGACCCTTGCCCCATGGGGTCTGAAATACAAAAAGCTGGGGGCATGCCTGACACATGCATGGCTAAACAGTCTGTTTTTTATTTGTTTTTTTGTTTGTTCATTTGTTTTTGAGATGGAGTTTTGTTCCTGTTGCCCAGGCTGGAGTGCAATGGCGTGATCTTGGCTCACTGCAACCTCTGCCTCCCAGGTTCAAGCAATTCTCCTGACTCTGCTTCCCAAGTAGCTGGGATTACAGGCGCCCACAACCATGCCCGGCTAATTTTTGTATTTTTAGTAGAGATGCAGTTTCACCATGTTGGCCAGGCTGGTCTGCCATTCCTGACCTCAGGTGATCCACCCTCCTCTGCCTCCGAAAGCGCTGGGATTACAGGCGTGAGCCACCGCACCCAGCCTGTTAAGCAGTTTTAAGAAAGGTTTACTTGTGCTCAATACAGAGGGAACAGCGACAGTCTGGTGTGCTCTGAGCTCTTGCATGCAATGTGCTTAGTGAGCTGGTCAGCACCTCCTGTACCAAGCTCAGGGTTCTTCTTGGGAACACTGGCGGCCTTTGGACCTTTCTTTCACAAAAATATTTGACATCATACATGTATCCTGATGGTCTTATATACTCAATATTTTTTGCAATAGCCCATGGAGGAAAAACATTGGACTAGACAAACTGTGAGATGTTGAAACAATGAAATACACACAGCAATAAAAGTAAACAGACTAGAGATATGCACGATAATATAGATGAATCTTAAAATTAATATCATGCAAAAATGCAAGACACAAAAGCATACATACTAATTCCATTATATGAAGTTCAAAAATAAGCAAAACTAAACTATTGTTTAGGAATAAATGCATGATTGGCAAAACACCAAAGAATGGCAAGTGACCAAAAGAAGTGACCAACATTCATAAAAGGCAGAACAGTAGTTGCCTCCATGGAAAAGGAGGGGTTTGAGCCGGATGTTGTTTCTAAACACAGGGATATTCTGAAATTTCCTGTCTTGATCCAGCTGATAATTAGATAAGTGTTTGCCTTATAAATATTTACTGCACTGAACATTCACTGTGGAGGCTACGAGAACGCACCACCCAGCCCTCCTATTACAAGGAGTATAACTTGACTGAGGGCCCAGATGCATGCAGAACCCCACTGCAGCATTGGGGCAAGGCCAACTCCACCCCTACAACAATGGGGTTGGCCCTGAGGCTGCTCCACTCATGAATGAGATTAACAGGTAGAGCAGGGCAGAACAGATCCTGGGAGGTACACGAGGCTTGCAACCACCAACTTTAGCTGAGGGGCTCCCCAACAGCTTTACCAAACCTTCCCTAGACTTCAGGTCAATCTAGGACAAATCTACCCACCTCGCTCTCTCTCCCTCTGAATGAGACTCACAGGGGAACAATGACTGCCCTAGCCTTTCCCCAAAGCCTCTCCGATTCCCTCTCTATTTACTTTCCCAAAGGTATTTCTCTTAATAAAATCCTTGCACATTTAACCCCCTTCTTGGCCTCTGCTTCTCGAAGGACCCCAAGCTGGCAAAATTACGTTTTATTTATTTATTTTTTTTTTTTGAGATGGAGTTTTGCTCTTGTTGCCCAGGCTGGAGTGCAATGGCACGATCTTGACTCACTACAACCTCCACCTCCCCAGGTTCAAGAGATTCTCCTGCCTCAGCCTCCTGAGTAGCTAGTACACGTGTTCATCACCACGCCCAGCAATTTTTTTCTGTTTTTAGTAGAGACGGGGTTTCACCATGTTGGCTGGTCTCGAACTCCTGACCTCAGGTGATCCACCCACCTCAGCCTCCCAGTGTGCTGGGATTACAGGTGTGAGCCACAGCACCTGGCTGTTTTATTCCCTTTTCTACATGCGCATTCCATTCCTCAGTGTTAAAAATGTTTAAAACGGTCATGCCGGCTGGGCATGGTGAACCACGCCTGTAATCCCAGCACTTTTGAGAAGCCGATGGTGGATCACAAGGTCAGGAGTTGGAGACTAGCCTGGCCAACATGGTGAAACCCCATTTCTACTAAAAATATAAAAATTAGCTGGGCGTAATGGCGCATGCCTGTAATCCCAGCTACTTGGTGTGTCTGGAATTGGTTCTTCCCCATGGGCTCTTGGTCTCACTGACTTCAAGAATGAAGCCTCGGTGAGTGTTACAGTTCTTAAAGATGGTATGTCCGGAGTTTCTTCCTTCAGATGTTCAGATGTGTCCGGAGTTTCTTCCTTCTGGTGGGTTCTTGGGCTCGCTGACTTCAGAAGTGAAGCTGCAGACCTTCGCAGTGAGTGTTACAGCTCATAAAAACAGTGCATCCAGAGTTGTTCATTCCTCCCGGTGGGTTCATGGCCTCACTGGCTTCAGAAGTGAAGCTGCAGACCTTTGTGGTGAGTGTTACAGCCCATAAAGGTGGCGCAGACCCAAAGAGTAAGCAGCAGCAAGATTTATTGCGAACAGCGAAAGAACAAGGCTTCCCAAGCATGGAACCGGATGCAAGCACATTGCTGCTACTGGCCCTGGTGGCCTGCTTTTATTCCCTTATTTGACCCCACCTACATCCTGCTGATTGGTCCATTTTACAGAGTGCTGATTGGTGCGTTTACAAACATTTAGCTGGACACAGAGTGCTGATTGGTGCATTTACAATCCTTTAGCTAGACAGAAAAGTTCTCCAAGTCCCCACCAGACCCAGAAGCCCAGCCAGCTTCACCTCTCATTTGGGAGGCTGAGGCAGGAGAATTGTTTGAATTCAGGAGGCGGAGATTACAGTGAGATCGCATCATTGCACTCCAGTCTAGGTGACAGAGCAAGACTCTGTCTTGAAGAAGAAAAGAAAAAAAAAAAAAAAAACTGTCATGCCAATCTGTATAGCAAAACAGCGAGGGGGAGATACTATCTGGTGGTGTATATATGGGGGTTGATGGTGTTGCTGAAATGCCCCTGTGATGGTTAATATTGTGTCAACTTGATTGGATTGAAGGATGCAAAGTACTGTTCCTGGGTGTGTCTGT